TCACCACTGAGAACAGCCTCTCTCCAGCCTCTTTGGAACCCCCTTCAGGGAGTTGCAGGCTGCTCTCAGATCCCCCCTCACTCTTCTCTTGTGCAGACTAATAACCCAAAGCCCCTCAGCCTCCCTCATAGAGGGCCCAGATTGTGTGTGCTCCAATCATTTTGGTTGCTCTCTACTTGACACTAAAGGAACACTCAACGATTCTCAAGAGCACTTGGACGACTGAGAAGCTAAAGGAGCTCTCAAGGATGACAAAGTCATAGTGAAGATGCTCAGTGAACATTGTGGAGAAGCTAAATGAATTCTTTACTTCGGTCTTCACAAATGAGAATATTGGGGAGATTCCCAACCCTGAGTCATTTTTTTTAGGTGACAAATCTGAGGAACTGTCCCAGGTTGAAGTGTTTATTAGAGGAGGTTTTAGGACAAATCGATCAATTTAAGAGTAACAAGTCACCGGGACCAAATGGTGGGGTCTCCGAAGGATCTGTCCCGGAACTAATCTTATTCAACTTTTTTATAAATGATCTACAGGAAGGGACAAACAGTGAAGTGGCTAAATTTTCAGATGATACTAAACTGCTCAAAATAGTAAAGACCAAAGCAGACTGTGAAGAGCTTCAAAAAGATCTCACCAAATTAAGTGATTGGGCAACAAAATGGAAAATGAACTTTAATGTTGATCCATGTAAATTAATGCACATTAGAAAAAATAATCCCAACTATTTCTACAGTATGATGGGGATTAATTTAGCTACAACTATTCAAGAGAGAGATCTTGGAGTCATTGTGGATAGTTCTCTGAAAACATTCACGCCATGTGCAGCAGCAGTCAAAAAAGCAAACAATGTTCAGAATGTTAGAAGTGATAATGTTAGAAGGGATAATGATTAAGACAGAGAATATCTTATTGCCTCTACATAAAACCATAGTATGACCATATCTTGAATACTGCGTATAGATGTGGTCTCCTCATCCAAAAAGATATATTGCCATTGAAAAAGATTTGGAAAAGGTCAACAAACATGATTAGGGGCTTGGAATGGGTCCCATATGAAGAGAGATTAAAAAGACGGGAATTTTCAGATTAGAAAAGAGGAGACTAAGGGGGGATATGGCAGAAATCTATAAAATCATAACTGGTGTGGAAAATGTCAATAATGAAAAGTTATTTATTTATTCCCACAATAAAAGAACTAGGGGTCACCGAATGAAATTAATAGTCTGCGGCTTTAAAACAAACAAAAGCTAGTTTTTCTTCACTCAGCAGACAGTCAACCTGTGGAACTTCTTGCCAGAGGATGTGGAGAAGACCACGACTTTAACAGGGTTCTAAAAAGAGCTAGATAGCCATTGATGGACCTAGCCTTCATGAATCTGTTAGCCAGGATAAGTAGGAATGGTATCCCTAGCCTCTCTTTGTCTGGAGGTAGGTGACAGGGGAGGGATCACATGAGGATTACCTGTTGTGTTCCCTTCCTCCAGAAAAATCATGGAGGGGATCCTGAAGGAATCCATTTTGAAGCACTTGGAAGAGGGGAAGGTGATCAGGAATAGTCAGCATGGATTCATAAAGGGCAAGTCGTGCCTGACCAATTTGATTAGCTTCTATGATGAGGTAACTGGCTCTGTGGACATGGGGAAGTCAGTGGCGGTGATAGACCTTGACTTTAGCAAGGCTTTTGATACGGTCTCCCAAATATTCTTGCCAGCAAGTTAAGGGAATGTGGATTGGATACATGGACTGTAAGATGGATAGAAAGCGGCTGGAAGGTCAGGCCCAGCGGGTAGTGATCACCGGCTCGATGTCAGGATGGCGGTCGGTTTCTAGCAGAGTGCCCCAAGGTTCGGGTCTGGGACTGGTTTTGTTCAATATCTTTATTAATGATCTGGGTGAGGGGATGGATTGCACCCTCAGCAAGTTTGTGGATGATACTAAGCTAGGGGGAGAGGTAGATACACTGGAGGGCAGGGATAGAATCCAGAGTGACTTAGACAAATTGAAGAATTGGGCCACAAGAAATCTGAAGAGTTTCAACAAGGACAAGTGTAGAGTCCTGCACTTGGGACAGAAGAATCCCAAGCATTGTTACAGACTGGGGACCGACAGGCTAAGCAGCAGTTCTGCAGAGAAGGACCTCAGGATTGCAGTGGATGAGAAGCTGGACATGAGTTCACAATGTGCCCTTGTAGCCAAGACGGCTAATGGCATATTAGGTTGCATTAAGAGGAGCATTGCCAGCAGATCCAGAGATGTGATTATTCCTCTTTTCTTGGCTCTGGTGAGGCCACATCTGGAGTATTATGTCCAGTTCTGGGCCCCCAATTACAGGAAGGATGCGGATGCATTGGAGAGGGTCCAGCGGGGGGCAACCTAAATGATTAGGGGGCTGGAAAATATGACCTATGAAAAGAGGCTGAGGGAGTTGTGCCTATTTAGTCTGCAGAAGAGAAGAGTGAGTGGGGATTTGAGAGCAGACTTCAACTTCCTGAAGGGAGGTTCCAAAGAGGCTGGAGAGAGGCTGTTCTCCGTAGTGACAGATGGCAGAACAAGGAACAATGGTCTAAAGTTGTGGTGGGAGAGGTCCAGGTTGGAGATTAGGAAAAACTATTTCACTAGGAGGGTGGTGAAGCACTGGGATGGGTTCCCTAGGGAAGTAGTGGAGTCTCCATCCCTAGAGGTGTTTAAGTCTCAGCTAGACAAAGCCCTGGCTGGGTTGATTTAATTGGGATTGGTCCTACCTTGGGCAGGGGGCTGGACTTGATGGCCTCCTAAGGTCTCTTCCAACTCTATGGTTCTATGATTCAATAAGGCTTCTTTCAAATACAGGCAACTTGCCTAGACTCCTTTGCCCTTCATATTAGCGTCCCAGGGGATCCTTCCCATCAGTTCTCTGAGGGAGTCAAACTCTGCTTTTCTGCAGTCCAGGGTGTGTGGTTTGTTGCTCTCCTTTCTTCCTTGGGTCAGGATCCTGAACTCGACCATCTCATGAGCACTGCTGCCCCGGTTGTCACCCACCTCTGCTTCACCTACTAGTTCCTCCCTCTTTGTGAGCAGCATGTCAGGATGAGCCTGGGTCCCTGGTTGGTTCCTTCAGCATTTAAGTTGTAAAGGGGCAATAACATGACAATGGTTCCTCACTCTCCGTACAACAACGCTCCTAAAACTACAAGAGGGAAAAGACTGAACTAGGGGCGAAGTTCTGGTCCTAGGCAGGAAACAGAATGACCAACTGAAAAAACTCACTTGCCTGTGCTAGCAAACTCAGCTGGACAGTACTTTATTGAAACCCCGACTAGTACATTAGACACAGACAATAGGTGTTTTTATTTTTCATCATTAATCTACTTAGATCCATTTGCTATTATCTATGCTCCTTTCAAAGCTCTCTTTCGGTAAAATAAATGTATTTTACATGTTACCTAACATACTGTGAATTCTCCGCTCATGAACAGAAGCTGAACACCCATTTTTCTTTGCAGCAGTGGTGACCTGGGTAATAAATTCACACTGGCCTCATTTTGAGTGGGGTGAATCAGTGAAGCTCTGGGGTCTCTGCTGGGAAGCTGGAGGACAGGCTGTAATCTCTGCTGTGGGTTCATGCAGAGCCTCCATGAACACTCCTGGGTGCATGTTGGGTGAGGGAACTTTGAGGGCTTTCTAGCTTGTAACACCCCAGAGCAAGAGGGGAACTAGACTGGGGAGAGAGTGACCCCAGCTCCATCTCCATTCCATATGGAACGCAGGAGGGGGCGGCAACCCATGATGGAGATGATCCAATAAATGATGGGAGAGGACAGGAGCAAGCAATAGGAAAGGAAACTTGGAAGAAAAGGCACAGTAATGCCTAGGGCCTCAAGGGAAGACGTAGAGCAGGGGTGCAGTATCTGGACAAGGATGGGGTAGGTGGCTAGTCCAGTTACAATGAATAAGTCGCACACAGAATAGAGCAGGGGTGCGGTATCTGGACAAGGGTGGGGTAGGTGGCTGGTCCAGTTACAATGAATAAGTCGCACACAGACCCATTCTCCAATTTGTCACAACGAGAAAGAAATATCAGGAAACGATTGAATTGCTCTTTGACTAGCCAGTGAGTGATTTAGGGAAGAGGGCCCAGCAGCCTGTCACCAACCATCTCAGCATGGAGCTCTGCTCGAGAGCCAGAACACCAGGGGTACGTCTATACTAGCCTCCTAGATCAATCTAGGGAGGCTAATGAGGGCAACCAGAATTGAAAATCAAGCCCAGGATTTAAATATCCCATGCTTCATTTCCATAGTCCCGGCCAGTCACCATTTTAGAAATTGACTAGCCCAAAGTAACTGCCCGTGTCTTCACATGGCAGTGAAACGGGATTCCAAAATAAAGCTCTAAATCAAATTAAGTGTTATTCCTTGTGGAATGAGGTTTACCACCTAATTCGATTTAGGGCTTTATTCTGGAATCCCGTTTCACTGCCGCATGTAGACACGGGCAGTTACTTCGGACTAGTCAATTTCTAAAATGGCGACCGCTGGGAACATGCAAATCAAGTGTGGGATATTTAAAACCTGAGCTTGATTTGCAATTCCGGTCACCCTCATTAGCCTCCCTAGATCAATCTAGGGGGCTAGTGTAGATGTACCCCAGGAGAAAACATTTATGTCCCTTTCAGGGTAACAAGCTGGAGCAGCCTGTCCCGGATCTGTTTGGTCCTCACTCCGTAGATGATGGGGTTCAGCATGGGGGGCACCAGGAGGTAAATGTTGGCAAAGAGAACGTTGAAATGCAGGGGTATATTGAAGCCAAACCGGGTTGAGAAGGAGGAGAAGAGAGTTGGAGTGTAAAAGGCTAAGATGACACAGAGATGGGAAGTGCAGGTCCCAAAAGTCTTGAGCCGGGCATCATTTGTGGGGAGGCGGAAGATGGCCCTAAGGATCTGGGTGTAGGAAATGAAAATAAAAATCACATACAGACCAAAGCTACAGAATAGCACAAAGAGGCCGTAGTAACTACTGACGCGGATGTCGACACAGGCCAGTTTCACGACAGGCATGTGCTCACAGTGCGTGTAGGGGATGATGTTGGTTCTGCAATACGGCCACTGCCTCGCCAGGAAGGGATAGGGCAGTGCAAGTATGGCACCTTGCAGCACCACGGCCAGGCAGATTTTGGCCACCACGGGTTTATTCAGGATGGCAGAATGTCTCAGGGGATGGCAGATGGCCACGTAGCGATCGAAAGCCATGGCCACCAATATCCCAGATTCAATCACTGAGAAGGAATGAACAAAGTACAACTGGGTGAGGCAGGCACTGAAATCGATTTCTCTGGAAATAAACCAGAAATTTCTCAATATTGTGGGTAGTGTAGATGTGGACAGGACCAGGTCGGTGATGCTCAGGATGCAGAGGAAATAGTACATGGGCTCATGGAGGCTTGGCTCCATCTTCACGATGAAGAGGATGGTGAAGTTCCCCAAGATGGTTATGATGTACATGGTGCAGAAGGGGATGGAGATCCAGACATGGGCTGACTCCAGGCCAGGGATGCCCAGCAGGATGAAGGTGGAGGGGTTGGTGAAGTAGGTTGTGTTCGAATCTGACATAGAATGACGGAGAATGTGTCCAACGCTGAGGCAGAAGACAATCTACTGTATGTATCTTATGATCCCCTGCAGAGCTGTATGTGACCAGGACCAATGGCAATGGTCACAGTACAAATGCCTGAAAGGACAGAGAATATCTGTATGAGGCACGAAATGCACTGATGGAAACTATTTTCATGATGAAGCAGACCCATTGCTGTTCACAGACTGGAAAAATATTTTCCATATTCTGATAAATGAATTAGAAACAAATGAAGCTACCACTGAAAATTACATTTGTTATGTTGGTCCCTGTGTCAATAATGTCTACACCTCTTCCTGTGAGGAACCCTAAAAGGGAACAGCAGGAAACACATCTCAGGGAGAGCACCAGGTCCTCACTGCTACCCGCACCATGGAAACCCACACTCATTCACACTGGTGGTGGAAGGAAAGCCCATGTTTGGATGTCGGAGGAATGGGATGGAGAATCACCCGGTCAGACGTGTGCTCAGCTGTGGTGACCTCGTCTCTATGGAGGATACAGAAGATAGAACGGGGTGTTCCGAGACAAACCATGGGAATGGGGGACGCTGCTCTGTACGTGCAGATTGAAGAGTCTGTGTAGAAACAAGAAGAGGAAGATGATGGAGGAGAGGAAAGTAAAGCATAGAACTGATTGCATTCCAATGGGCAAAGAGCGAAGAGTTCCCAACCCATAGTATCCATACATCAGCACAATTGAATGGGGGGAAATGTTAGTCAGAAAATTGAGAATGGAAATTGGATGCTCTTTAACAGTCCCCGGAAAAATCATGGAGGGGATCCTCAGGGAATCCATTTTGAAGCACTTGGAAGAGGAGAAAGTGATCTGGCATAATTAACATGGATTCACGAAGGGCAAGTTATGCCTGACCAATCTGATTAGCTTCTATGATGAGGTAACTGGCTCTGTGGACGTGGGAAAGTCAGTGGATGTGATATACCTTGACTTTAGCAAGGCTTTTGATATGATCTCCCACAATATTCTTGCCAGCAAGTTAAGGGAATATGGATTGGATACATGGACTGTAAGGTGGATAGAAAGTGGGCTAGACTGTCAGGCCCAACATGTAGTGATCTACAGCTCGAAATAAGGTTGGCGGTCGGTTTCTGGCGGAGTGCCCCAAGGATCAGTTGAAGGCCCGGTTTTGTTCAACATGTTTATTAATGACCTGGATGAGGGGATGGATTGCACCCTCAGCAAGTTCACAGATGACACTAAGCTAGGGGGAGAGGTAGATACCCTGGAGGGCAGGAATAGGGTCCAGAATGACCTGGAAAAATTGGCGGAAGGTAAGCCCATGTTTGGATGCCGGAGGAATGGGACGGAGCATCACCTGATCGGACGTGTGCTCAGCGGTGGTGACCTCTTCATTACAGAGGATGCAGCTGATAGAACAGGGTGTTCTGAGACAAACCATGGGAATTTGGGAAGCTGCTGTGTACAGGCAAATTGAAGAGTCTATGAAGAAACAAGAAGAGGAAGATGATGGAGGAGAGGAAAGTAAAGAATAGAATGGGAGAATTGTTTCCAACCCATCATATCCATACATCAGCACAACCGTGTCGGGGGGAAATATTAGTTGGAAAAATGAGAATGACAATGGAGTGTTCTTTACCATGAGTGTATTCAGTAGCTAAACAGTTACCATGCCACAATCAAGACAGTGTTTAAAGATACATGATTTTTTGGTTGTGCCAAGAAAATGGGTGTGCCTGGAATGGGACTGCTGGTCATAATGCCAAACAAAAGGTATCACCAAATGGAGTACAGGAATCCAAACTGAGAGAACTCAGTGAATGTTGAAGGAAATAACTAAATCAGTGCTTAAGCTTTGAAAAATAGAATAAAATGTTACTGGAAGGCAAATTGAATTTTCTCCTTTTTTGTTAAAACAGAATGGCTACATCTAGACTGGCATGATTTTCCGCAAATGCTTTTAACGGAAAAGTTTTTCCGTTAAAAGCATTTGCGGAAAAGAGCATCTAGATTGGCACGGATGCTTTTCCGCAAAAGTCCTTTTTGCAGAAAAGTGTCCGTGCCAATCTAGACGCGGTTTTGCGCAAGAAAGCCCTGATTGCCATTTTCACCATCGGGGCTTTTTTGCGCAAAACAGTTTTTAGCTGTCTACTATGGCTCTTTTGCGCAAAAACATTTCCAGAAAAGGGCTTTTGCCCGAATGGGAACGTCAAAGCATTTGCACAAAAAGCACTGATTTCGGACAGTAGACCGTCAGTGCTTTTGCGCAAAATCAAGCAGCCAGCATAGAAGCTTTTGCAGAAAAACTTGCCAGTCTAGACATAGAAGGTTTTTGCAGAAAAACTTGCCAGTCTAGACGCAGCCAATGAGTTTATAGGGATGAAGAAAAAACCCTCACTTAATGGAATTCCTATTTAAAAAATTTAATAACAAATACTAAACAGTAAATATTCAACAATCCTTTTTTGAAGAAATAAAAAAAAATAACTTCATATCAATAACGGTCTATTTTTAAGTGTGTACATTTTCTTAACAGAACTGAGTTAAGAATGCAAATACAGTGGGTAAATTTGCCATTTATATAAGTATATGAAATATAAGAAATGCTAGAAAACGTTAGGGCAAGTCCTAGCATGAGAAAGGAAATTTGTTAATGTTACAGGAAATGTAGACATGTTCACCATATACTTTTGTGCTGCACTTGGAAATATGTCGTATAGGTACCCACACTGTGTAAAGTGAGGAAACACTTTTCGGACCATTAGCAATAAAAGAGAGTGTTAAACCTCATCTACAGTAGCAGCTTCGAGTCTAGACTGCACGCTTCTTTCTGAAGAAGCATTTCCGGAAGAGCATGTTCCACACTCCCAAAGTTCATCGAAAAAGCCATCTGCTTTTTCCACAAGCTAAAAGAAGCTAAATACAAGTCAACAGTGACACACAGTAGAAAAAAAATCTCATTCTGGGATTTTGTAACTGGTGTTCTACACAAGACAGAAGAGCTCTGCTCTGCACTCAATTATCGCCAGCTGTAATATTCTGTCCGGTTCTGGGCATCCCATTTTGGGAAAGCTGTGGGCAGACTGGGCAGGGTGTGGAGTGAAGCACCACGCTGTGTACAAGGTGAATGAAGAGCTGTGGGGAGTATGGTCTGCAGGCGAGGGGGTCGCCCTCCCCACCACTCTCCTGGGCAGGGCACAGGGGGACAGAGCCACACAGAGCTGTGGGAGCGGTGCCTGGGGATGGTCGGTGTCAGCAAAATGTCTCCCAGCCCACGGTCCCATTCTCCTCAGCAGCTGTGTGTGGCCGGGGGCTGCAGGTTGCCCAGCACTGGCCTGGCACTGCTCAGCCCTGGGTGAGGAAAGGGGACGGGGCTCGAGGGCCTCCCACATCCCTGCCAGGACTGGGATTCTGTGTTTCTGTGTTTCTATGACAAAAGAGATGAGAGCCCCATATCATGGAGTAAAGGGAGCTTGGAAAGGATTCGGGGTAACATCAACTGCCTCGTGGGGAGCTCCCAGTGCCGGGCTGTGGCCAAGGGACGCTGGGATTCCTGGTCGTGTGAACAGCAGAGCTGTGAGCTGGCGCAGGGGCAGGGTTTCCCCCTTGCACACGGCATCGGTGAAAGCGCCTGGGTGAGATCCCGGGATCCAAACTGGGAGCGGGGGAGGAAAAGAGCCGCACAGATGGGGGGAGGCTGCGTCAAATCCCATCCAAAGAGAGACCCAGAAACCCTCATCTAATTATCGTATCAAACGAGGCTCAGGCAGAGACTGGGCTGGGGCGGAACCACCGGGAATGTCGGGCGCTGGGATCTCACCGAGATGAGAAGCGCCAGGCCCAGAGGCTGGAGGCTGAAGCCAGACGAATTCCAGCTGGAAATCCGGGCTAACGGCTGAGCCCTGATTGTGATTCACCCTTCGGAGAGACTGAGAGGGGAAGGGCTGGATTCTCCAACTCTCAGTGCTGGCAGAGCTGGGCTGGGGGCTGTTCTGGGCATTGGCTGAGGGCTTGTGAGCACTTAATGCATTGAAGCGTCACAGCCTTACAGCTGCACTGGGAACCCTGGGCTTGCCTCTGCTGACAAGGGGGTTCAGTGGTTGTAGTGCGGAGCCCTGGTCCTCGTTTCCCAGTAGGATAACGGCAGGAAAGAGCCCCCACAACCAGCCAGAGTTCTGACATGCTGAAGGAGAAGGGGACAGTGTCTGTGCAGGGAAGTGGGTTCCAGCCCTGTGTGGAGCCCAGGCACCTCCTCACTTCCCAGCAGGCAAACGGCAGGAAAGAGCACCCAGGACCAGCCAAAGCCCTGACATGCCGGAGGGGGAGGGGACAGCGGCTGTGCAGGGACGTGCAGCTGCCTCCTCAGCTCTTTTCTCACTTCTGATTTCAAGGGGAGTTTTGCTTCTGTGAGGCCTGAGCCAAAAGCTGGCGCAGCCTCAGGATTGGGCCCTGTGTTGTACATTTGTTAAAACCTTTTGCCCTGAAGGACCCCTGGGGCACTAAAATGCAGCTACCTCTGGTCTGGAGCACATCATTGGGAAGGGGTGTGGTTGCACAGAAAAGACGGATGTTTTGGCCAGGGATCAGGGAGCAAACTCTTCTTCTGTGGCCAGGGTCCGGGCATGTTTAATGGCCGTGCAGAGCTGACAAGACCCCAAATTTACCCCCTCTCTCAGCATGTCTACATAGCTCAGGGGCTATTGAGCAGCTGAGATTATCCACAAGAGATGGTACCTGTGAATTCAGAGACCAAAGAGTCTTCCCTGGGTCTCCCCCTCAGGCAGCCGCGTCCTGCACCTCTCTCAGCCCAGCGTCTGCAGCTGAGAGCTGACACAGCATGTGAACCATTTATAACCCAGCTCTGGGCAGTCCCGGGGGGATGAGAGGGTGTGCTCAGTCTCTGAGGGAGAAGCAGCATCTGGATGTAACCAGCCTGGCCACTGGGCTATTTATCCAGCTTTAGGCACAAACAGGAATTGAAGACTTCCCCACGGGGAGAGGAGAACTCTGGGATGAGTCACAGAGCAATTGGCTACCCAGGTCTATTTTTAAATGATATTTATTAGTCATAAAACGGGTGACAAAGCCTCGGTCGACACAGAATTTTAAGAGGGATAAGGGATCTTTCTGAAAAGGCTTTATTTTCCGAAAGATCCCTGTCTGGACTGGCGCTTTTTTCCGGCAAAGCTCCGAGCCAAAAAAAAGCAGCAGCCATGTTTATGTTTATGAAGCGGGGGAGATTTAAATCCTCGCTTCATTAGCAATTGCGATACATCTAATTTGCATCCCTTTTACGAAAAAGGGATGCAATCTAGACATAGCCCAGGAGAAAACATTTAGGTCCCTTTCAGAGTAACAAGCTGGAGCAGTCTGTCCCAGATCTGTTTGGTCCTCACTCCGTAGATGATGGGGTTCAGCATGGGTGGCACCAGGAGGTAAATGTTAGCAAAGAGAGTGTAGATATGCAGCGGTATATGGAGGCCAAAGCGGGGCGTGAGGGAGGCAAAGAGCGTTGGGATATAAAAGGCTAAGATGACACAGAGGTGGGAAGTGCAAGTCCCAAAAGTCTTGAGCCGGGCGTCCTTTGTGGGGAGGCGGAAGATGGCCCTGAGGATCTGGATATAAGACACGGCAATAAAGAGCACATCCAGACCAATCCTACAGATTAGCACAAAGAGGCCGTAGTAGCTACTGACACGGATGTCTGCACAGGCCAGTTTCACCACATCCATATGCTCACAGTGCGTGTAGGGGATGATGTTGGTTCTACAATATGGCCAGTGCCTCGCCAGGAAGGGATAGGGCAGTGCAAGTATGGCACCTCTCAGCACCACGGCCAGGCCGATCTTGGCCACCACAGAGTTATTCAGGATGGTGGAATGTCTCAGGGGATCACAGATGGCCACGTAGCGATCAAACGCCATGGCCACGAAGATCCCAGACTCAATCACGGAGAAGGAATGAATGAAGTACAGCTGGGTGAGACAGGCATTGAAATTGATCTCCCTGAAATTAAACCAGAAATTTCTCAGTATTGTGGGTAGTGTAGATGTGGACAGGACCAGGTCGGTGATGGCCAGCATGCAGAGGAAATAGTACATGGGCTCATGGAGGCTCGGCTCCGTCTTCACGATGAACAGTATGGTGAGGTTCCCCAAGATGGTTATGATGTACATGGCACAGAAGGGGATGGAGATCCAGACATGAGCCTCCTCCAGGCCAGGGATGCCCAGCAGGATGAAGGTGGAGGGGTTGGTGAAGTAAGTTTTATTGGAATCTGACATGGAATGACGGAGAACGTGTCCAACGCTGAGGCAGAAGGCTGTCTATTTTGTGCACCTTCTGATCCCCTGATGACCTGTAAGGAATGCCCAGCAGGATGAAGGTGGAGGGGTTGGTGAAGTAGGTTTTATTGGAATCTGACATGGAATGACGGAGAACGTGTCCAACGCTGAGGCAGAAGGCTGTCTATTTTGTGCACCTTCTGATCCCCTGATGACCTGTATGTGACCAGGATCAATGACAATGGTCACAGTACAAATGCCTGAAAGGACAGAGAATGTTTGTATGAGGCATGGTATGTACTAATGGAGACTATTTTCACGGTGAAGGAGATTGGTTGCTCTCCACACACTGGAAATGAATATTCATTATTCAGAGAAATTAAATATGAACATATGACCCTTCTACTGGCAATTTCATATTTTATGGTGCTTCCTGGGTCAATAATGTCTCCACCTTGTGCTGTGGGAAACCATTCAAGGAAAGAGCAGGAAACACACCTCATGGAAAACAGCAGGTCCTCTCTGTTATCAGCACCATGGAGACCCACGCTTATTCTCAGCCGTGGTGGAAGTAAAGACCATTGCTTGAAATAGGATGAATCTACAATAGGGCTGCTTCTCAACACGCCTTACATGGGCACCATTCGTTACCCCCTGTTGATAGCCTTGTATGGATCTAACCTCCATGAATTTATCTAGATGTTTTTTAAGCTCTCTTCTAGTCCTAGCCTACATAGGTTGACTGTGCCTGTTTGAAGAAGAACTTTTTTTTTATTTTAAACCTGCTACCCATTAATTTCATTTGGTGTCCTCTAATTCTTATATTATGGGAACAAGTAAATATCTTTTCTGTATTCACCCTCCCCACACCATTCATGAATATATAGACCTGTATCATATTCCCCCTCAGTCTCCTCTTTTCTAAACTGACAAGTCACAGTCGCTTTACCCTCTCCTCATATGGGACTCGTTTCAAACCACTAATCATTTTAGTTGCCCTTTTCTGAACCTTTTCTAATGCCAAAATATCTTTTTTGAGTTGAGGATACCACATCTGTACTCAGTATTCCAGATGTGGGCGTACCATGGATTTATATAAGGGCAATAAGATGTTCTCCGTCTTATTCTCTATCCCTTTTTTAATAATTCCTAGTATCCTATTTGCTTTTTTGACTTCCGCTGCACACTGCATGGACATTTTCAGAGAACTATCCATGATAACACCAAGATCTCTTTCCTGATTAGTTGTAGCTAAATTAGCCCCCATCATATATAACACTGCAGGGCACCGACTATCCAATAAGTTCTTGGATTGCATTGGTGACACCTTTTAATTCAGAAGGTTCAAAAAGTTACCGGGGGGAAGCTGTTCTAAATTTGATCCTAACAAATAGGGAGGAACTGGTTGAGAATTTGGAAGTGGAAGGCAGCTGGGTGAAAGTGATCATGAAATCATAGAGTTCATAATTCTAAGGAAGGGTAGAAGGGAGAACAGCAAAATAGAGACAATGGATTTCAGGAGGCGGATTTCGGTAAGATCAGAGAGCTGATAGGTAAGGTCCCATGGGAATCGAGACTGAGGGGAAAAACAACTGAGGGATATTGTTAAGGACCCAAAAGCAAGCTATTCTGATGTGTCGGAAAGCTAGAAAATAAGGCAATTGACTGCCTTGGCTTAACCACGAGATCTTGCAAGATCTCAAAATAAAAAAGGAGTCCTATAATAATGGAAAGTAGGACAAATTACAAAGGATGAATATAGGCAAACAGCACAGGAATGCAGGAGCAAGATTAAAAAGTCAAAGGCACAGAATGAGCTCAAACTAGCTACGGGAATAAAGGGAAACAAGAAGACTTTTTATAAATACATTAGAAGCAAGAGAAAGACCAAGGAGAGGGTAGGCCCACTGGTCAGTGAGGAGGCAAAAACAGTAATAGGAAATTTGGAAATGGCAGAGATGCTCAATGACTTCTTTGTTTCGGTCTTCACCGAGAAGTCTATAGGAATGCCTAACATAGTGAATGCTAGTGGGAAGGGGGTAGTTTTAGAAGACAAAATAAAAAAAGAACAAATCAAAAATAACCTAGAAAAGTTCGATGCCTGCAAGTCACCAGGTCCTGATGAAATGCATCCTAGACTACTCATGGAGCTGATAGAGGAGGTATCTGAGCCTTTAGCTATCATCTTTGGAAAATCATTGGAGAAAGGAGAGATTCCAGAAGACTGGAAAAGGGCAAATCTAGTGCCCATTTATAAAAAGGGAAATACAAACAATCCAGGAAACTACAGACCAGTTAGTTTAACTTCTGTGCCAGGGAACATAATGGAGCAAGTAATTAAGGAAATCATCTGTAAACACTTGGAAGGTGGCAAGGTGATAGGGAACAGCCAGCATGGATTTGTAAAGAACAAATCGTGTCAAACTAATCTGATAGTTTTCTTTGATAGGATAACGAGTCTTGTGGATAAGGGAGAAGCGGTGGATGTGGGATACCTAGACTTTAGTAAGGTATTTGATACGGTCTCGCATGATATTCTTATCAATAGACTAGGTAAATACAACTTAGATGGGGCTACTATAAGGTTGGTGCATAATTGGCTGGATAACCGTACTCAGAGAGTAGTTATTAATGGTTCACAATCCTGCTGGAAAGGCATAACTAGTGGGGTTCCTCAGGGGTCTGTTTTGGGACTGGCTCTGTTAAATATCTTCATCAACTATTTAGATATTGGTATAGAAAGTACGCTTATTAAGTTTGCAGATGATACCAAGCTGGGAGGGGTTGCGACTACTCTGGAGGATAGGGTCATAATTCAAAATGACCTGGACAAATTGGAGAAATGGTCAGAGGTAAACAGGATGAAATTTAATAAAGACAAATGCAAAGTGCTCCACTTAGGAAGGAACAATCAGTTCACACATACAGAATGGGAAGCGACTGTATAGGAAGGAGTATGGCAGAAAGGGATCTAGGGGTTATAGTGGACCACAAGTTGAATATGAGTCAACAGTGTGATGCTGTTGCAAAGAAAGCAAACATGATTCTGGGCTGCATTAACAGGTGTGTTGTGAGCAAGACACGAGAAGTCATTCTTCCGCTCTACTCTGCACTGGTTAGGCCTCAGCTGGAGTACTGTGTCCAGTTCTGGGCACCGCATTTCAAGAAAGATGTGGAGAAATTGGAGAGGGTCCAGAGAAGAGCAACAAGAATGATTAAAGGTCTAGAGAACATGATCTATGAGGGAAGGCTGAAAGAATTGGGTTTGTTTAGTTTAGAAAAGAGAACACTGAGGGGGGGACATGATAGCCGTTTTCAGATATCTAAAAGGGTGTCAAGGAGAAGGGAAAAAACTTGTTCATCTTGGCCTCTGAGGAAGGAACAAGAAGCAATCAGCTTGAACTGCAGGAAGGGAGGTTTAGGTTGGGCATTAGGGAAAAGTTCCTAACTGTCAGGATAGCCAAACACTATAATAAATTGCCCAGGGAGGTTGTGGAATCTCCATCTCTGGAGATATTTAAGAGTAGCTTAGGTAAATATTGAAGGGTAGGTTAGATAAATGTCTATCAGGGATGGTCTAGACAGTATTTGGTCCTGCCATGAGGGCACAGGACTGGACTTGATGACCTCTCGAGGTCCCTTCGAGTCCTAGTATTCTTTTATTTCTATGATTTCTATGTATGTATAATTGGGGTTATTTTTTCCGATGTGCATTACTTTACACTTATCCACATTCAATTTCATTTGCCATTTTGTTGCCCAATCACTGAGTTTGGTGAGATCTTTTTGAAGTTCTTCAAAGTCTGCTTTGGTCTTGACTATCTTGAACAGTTTAGTATTGTCTGCAAACGTTGCCACCTCACTGCTCATCCCTTTCTCTAGATCGTTTATGAATAAGTTGAATAGGATTGGTCCCAGGACCGACCCTTGGGGGACACCACTAGTTAGCCCTCTCCAATCTGAAAATTTACCATTATTCCTACCCTTTGTTTCCTGTCTTTTAACCAGTTCTCAATCCATGAAAGGATCTTCCCTCTTATCCCATGACAACCTAATTTATGCAAGAGCCTTTGGTGAGGGACCTTGTGAAAGGCTTTCTGAAAACCCAAGTATACTATATCTACTGGATCCCCCTTGTCCACATGTTTGTTAACCCCTTCAACCAACTCTAAGGGTATGTCTACACTATAGAGCTATTTCAAATTAACTTATTTTGTATTAGTTAATTCAAAATAATCTAAATCGAAATAACCCATCTAGACACAAACTATTTCGAAAGATCATTTTTCTAATTCGAAATAGTGGGTCCACATTGAGTGGACCCTGAATTGAAGGTAAGGCTGGCCGGAACCAGTGCCGGCAAGGGATCAAGGTCGGACTTAGTGTGTGGGGATACTGTCTCAAGCTAGCCTAGGTCTTTGCTTAAAGGGACCCAAGCCCCCACCCCGGACAGACAGTTCTCAGGTTTCTGTGCCAACTCCGGTGCCAGGACAGCTGGTGGTGGCCCCTCTGCTGTACCTAGGTCAGGGCCCTCAGCTCCCGGCTCGCTTCCCCCCGGGCTGGTGCGGACCGTCCCGCCCCCCAGGATTCAGTCGAGGGCGGGGAAGTAGGGGCAGGTGTCAGTCCCTGCTGCAGTG